CTTCACCCTCCTGCTCATTCTCCACTGGAATGTTGAGGCTTGCATCTGCATTGCTAACATTGCCAGTATCCGTTGCACTTTCCATTCTAGTTTGGAAAGTGGCATTAACTGAGTAAAAAAAAAAAAAACAAAGTGTTAGTACATTCATACATTGAATTAGGTGGAAAGAAGGCGAAAAACTGAACAATAAGAGAGTTTCAAAACTCACTACTTTCCAAAGTCAAATTCTCTTCATCGTCTTCCTTATCGTCAATCTCCCTGGATCCGATACCTTATCTAATCCTCAGCACAAATCAATGCCTCCACCATTAGCTCGCTCAAAGAGGACCTGAATGGACTGAGAATCGGCCCGCCACAGTTGAATCTTACCTCTGAGGCAACATAAGAGATGGGAACAACTAGGACATCCTTAGCCATCTCAGCAAGAATCAGATATATTCTAGAGTGTCGAGACCACCAATCCAAGATGTCAAACTTTGCATCATCACTCTCTTCATTGATGCCATCAGTTTGACATTGCAAATAGATGTCAAGCTCAGCAGAGCTACCTCCTATTTCCAGAAGAAGTGCTTCCCTTTTTCTCTTTCTAAGCCTCTCCTCTAACTTCTTAATCCAATCACCATCACCAGAACCAGAACTACCATCAATAATGTTATCATCAGTGATAGGTTGAGATGCAGACTCTGATCCATACTTCCTCTTATAAACCTCAAACATCTGCGCATCTCCCTTTTAATAGAAATCTGAATTTCTCCTCCTTTGATACGTCCATAAATCATTTCTAACACTTCAGACACCAGATACAGTTTACTTCTAGGATCAAGCACACATGCTATATAAATTATGTGATTCACCTTTGTATTCTCCTCATTCATGACAGGTGTCTCAAATCAATACTTCTGTACATTTTCTTCAACCTTTTATGCCATCTTTTGGGACTCTTCATGCGGATCATTCTTCAATTCCTCAATGATGTCATAAACTGGACCAAGTTTCTTAAAGAAAATATGGGTAGTCACATATGAAGTTCCTGTACAATGAGAATAGAATACAGGATTAGACTTAAACAAACCAAAATTGTCAAATGATCAAATTAAAATAAAACAATGCAGTTAAAATTCCACTTACCTGAGACTAGGAGGGTCAAGTCATTAAAGACTTTCAGATACTTCATCAACTTCCTAATCAACTGCCAATCTTGTTCAGTTGGAAGACCACCTCTTATGTCAACATAATCCCTGAAGGAATGATCGTGTATACTTGAATACAAAGTTGTAAACACTCCACCAAACCTTTCTGCTGCTTCTAACATGATATAGGTGGAGTTCCACCTGGTCGGTAAATCCAAACACACCAATTTGCTTGACTCCAACTCCAGAAATTGCATGGCAGTCTTGAACCTTGTCAACCTAGCTGGTGATGACCTCACCCACTTCACACAGTCCCGAACTCTATCCACAACTTCTCCAATCACTTGCAATCCATCCTGCACTACCAGATTAATGATGTGTGCGACACAGCGAAACTGAGGATACTTCCCATCCATCACATCACACCCCCACTCTTTTAATTTTGTTCTCATGCAATCACTCACAATATCATTTGTAGATGCATTGTCCATGTTCATGGAGAACATATTCTTCACCTTCCATTCTTCAAGAATTTCTGCAAGCTTCTCTGCAATATCCTTTCCTGTGTGACTTGTGATGGGAACAAAGCAGAGAACCTTCTTTTGCAACTTCCAATCAACTCCAACAAAGTGAGCAGTCACACACATGTAATTTTTGTTGTTGTCAGATGTCCATGTATCTGTGGTGATTGAAACTCTACCTTTGCTCTTTGATTCAAAAAACTCTATCAAATGCATTTTTTTCTCCAAGAATATATGAAAGCAATCATCTCTGATACCTCTCCTCCCAGGTATCTTAAACAGCGGCTGAACAACTTGCATAAACTGCTTAAACCCTTCTCTTTTCACAAAGCGAAAAGACAACTCATCCATAATGATCATCATGGCTAAGGCATATCTAGCTTTTGCTTGATCAAACTTCCATAAAGCACTTACTTGACTTTGACTACCATCTGCGGCTTGCAAGTTCAGAACAGTCTGATCCATGGATGCTGCAACCTTAGACAAACATGATCTCAAATGGTTATTCATTGCAGAAGTGCCGTTCTTGGATGAATGTGCTTTGATTTTAGTATGACAATGCCTGCACTCTCCCATCGGATACTCATCCACCGCCACCTTCGTAAAATCCTTCCAGCAATCAGTTGTAGCATTTGTCTCCAACCATTTCTCTAGATCGGAGTTATTGCCTTTAACTTTATCTGAAGCCGGATTAACCGTTTCTATTGAAGGAGTCTCAGCAACACGTGTACTTCCACTATCGGCATGGGTGGGAGTCGATGCAATTGATGCCGACGCCGACGGTTCAGCAGACTGAACATGCCGACTCCCTGTACGTCCACCACGACCCTGATTCTGAGCATGAGGGGCTGAGGCACGCGCACCACCACGACCTCGAGGAGCCAGAGATCTCCCACCACGTCCACCACGTGGAGCCGGAGGTCTCTCCCTATATCAACAGTTACACAAATTAAAAATTGAAAAAAATTTCACAAATTCTAACAAGTAACAACTAACAAGCATCATCAAAATCATCATCATTCATCATCACTAAACCTTTATAACTTATTAACTTATAAGCAGATAAACATCCCATTTCTGTGGTTGTTCATCATCATCACCATTCACCCATCATCATCATTAATCATTCAAAATCATCATCAATCCACCAAAATCATCATCATTCATTCATAAATCAATCATTAAAACTCTAAATCATCATTTTAAATTTCTAAATTCTAATAAACTTACATAATATATGAGTCTGCAGTCAAGACTCAAGGAGCAGCCGAGCAGGATGGCGCTGGCGCCGGTGGGGGTCGCCGGGGGAGATTGACAAGGCGGGGCAGGGAGAAGGCGGAGGAGGGGGTCTCGCCGTCTCGGAGACCTAACATCGGCGGTGAGATGCTGGCAGGGCCTGTCACGCGAGGGAGGGAGGAGGTCAAGGCGGGGGAGGGAGAAGGCAGCGGAGGATGAGGTCTCGGGCTCTCGGATGTGTCGAGGAAGTTCGTCGTGCGTCTCGGGAAGGCAGTGGTCGGCGGTGGAACGCGAGGAGACGGCGACCGTCGTTGCCGATTGGAATGGATCGTCTCGTTGGGAGGGTGGAGGAGGTGGCGGGGACGCGGGGCGGCTGCTGGCTGCTGCTGAGTGCTACTGTGGAGGAACACGAAGACGAAGGTAGGGTTGGGGCTGTGGGGGTTTTAGAACAGCTAGGGCAAAACGACACTGTTTAGGTCGGTCGGTTGCATCGGTTAGCCGGTTAACCGGCTTCGGTTTATCGGTTAGCCGACGCACCACCTACCTATTCCGACCACCGACCGACGTATTTACTCATTGGTTTTCGGTTAGCCGCTAACGGACAGTTAACGGTTAGACCGGCCGGTTAGCCGCTAAGTGGCAACCGAAATGACAGCCCTACATAGAGGTACACGTTCACTACATACGACAACTTGTATCTGAAGGAGTGATCCAGATCAGTCATTTGTCGGATGATGATCAGACTGCGGATATTCTGACGAAGGCAGTTAGTTTGACCAGGCACTAGTATCTCTCTTGCATATTGATGTTGAGTAATCGACATCAATTTGAGGGAGGGTGTTAAAGTATAGAAGTTTGGGTACATTTATGTAATTGTATCTAGGGTTTGTTCTAACAAACCATATATATTAGTGTAACAGAACAGAAAGAACTAACGAAATACGAAAACATAAAATCGGAAAGGGAGATCCTCTACATGGACTAGTGTCACATTGATGATACCACGTTAAAAAACTTTGTGTCTTTCGTTCTTGCTTTCGTTTTGATTCTTTGAAAAGTGCAACGTCAGAAAGAACAATAGCAAGATGTGAAGAGGATTTTTTGGTACCTTAGAGGTACATCTGATATGGTGATTAACTTTGGAAGTGATACAGAGTGCTTAGTGGCTTATTATTCAGATTCTTATTATGCTAAAGTTGTTGATCACATGAGGAGATTTATGTCTGGTTATGTATTTACTCTTGTAGGTTCTAAGGTTAGCCATAACGCAACGTTGTAGTCTATGGTTACTTTTCTACTACTAATGCAGAGTACATGGGACGGCCAAAAGCTGCAAAAGAGGAAATATGGTTGAAGCAGCCGATTAGTGATGTAAGTTTACATCATGATTATACAGTGGTATATTGTGACAATTTGAGTGCAGTATGTTTGGCCAAAGATCAAGTTCACCATGAGAGGACTAAACACATCGATGTGAGGTATCATTTATTGAGAACATAAAAGAGGATTAAGGCGAAGAAAGTGGGCACTACTAAAAATCCTGCTGATATGTTCACGAAGCCGGTTTCACATGACAATTTCCAACACTACTTAGACTTGTTAAATGTCCCGAGGGGATGAAGCACTTAGGGGGCATTGAGACATGAGAGAGATGATTTGAATAAATTTGAGATTTGGAGGAAGGTTTTAGGTTAAGGTGGAGATTTGTTGATATGCTTTAAATCGAATTATCTGCTCGTGTACTAGCTAACACACATTGTGTTAGTAAACCATGTAATCTGTATGTTTTTTACTATCTTACATTGTCGATTTTCGATCCGTTCTAACCGTCTCACAAGCAAGGTCCATGAAACCGTACCGGAGACCGTATCGAGAAAGTCAGCGGTAGGGTATCTTATGTTAAAATCGTATTTTAACCGTAGTTCAACCTTAGTACCATTAAATACCGTCTATCGATTTAGCCTCTAATAATAGTATTCTGTAATTGAACTGCCGGTACGATACAGGTTCATGGACATGCTATGCTGCTCACAAGCTTACTATCAATAAAAAAGTAAGTCAAAATTGCCATGATCAAGATAAATAGATAAAGGAAAGGAGGTTGGGAGAAATTGCATCCAAATAAATAGAGAGATAAAGAAAGTAGAAATACAAGATAGCACCAAGGAAAAACATCGAGAAAGGTAGCATTTTCTTTCCCACAAAGCTCCAAAGGAAAGTAAGGGAGCCGTCAGCTGAGGCGAGGAGAGGAAGAAAAGAAAAGAAAAAACTAAAGAAGAAATGTTTTTTCTTCTGTATGTGTGGCGTTTGTGAACTGTGAAGTGAAGAATATGGACATCACATGATCTCTCCTTCTTTCTCCTCCTTTTCTCTCTCTAAACTCTCACTCTCACTCTCCCTCCAACTTTACCTTTTCACCGCCTCCTCCAGCTCCTCCGCCGCTCCTCCCCTTCACCCCACCCACCGCCATCAATTCCCAGATCTCCGCTTCCATTCCCCGTATCCCAAATCCGGAATCCGTCGAGTCGCCATGTTGGCGGCTCGATCTCTGTTCCTCCTCTTTCTCGCGGCGGCTCTGCTGGCCGGCCTCGAGGCGGCGCAGCAGGGGATCGCCCTCTCGACCAAGCTGATTCACCGCTTCTCCGACGAGGCCAAGGCGTTGAGAGTTGGTCGGAATGTCACCGCCAGCGTCTACTGGCCGGAGAAGAGGAGCTTGGAGTACTACAGCTTGCTGCTCGACAGCGACCTTCAGAGGCAGAAGATGAAGCTCGGCCCTCGCTACCAGTTCCTTTTCCCTGTTGAAGGGAGCAATACCGTCTCCTTGGGGAATGACTTTGGATGGTACATTTGCTTTCAATTTGCTTTCCAATTATTTTTCTCTTGGGGGGTTGGGGAGCTTTGGCGTAGTGTTTTAGCTGGGAGTTGGCTTTTGTTGCTTTGGGTGCCCGTCTAGTTATTGTTTCGATGAAGGGGGGAATTTTTTCCGGGAACTTTGGGAGGAAGTTAAAGGGTTTGTCTTTTTGTTTCCTCTTTGTTGCTTCTGTTTTAATTTGTTTGGGTTCCTGCTAAAGAAAGGGAGCGATTTGGGGAGTTCGTTCTTTTCTTTATATTTCTGGGTTGATAGTTCTGCGATTGAGTTGACAAATGTGAAACTGCCTTGGATTTCTACCATTCTTCTTGCTCTCCGACTTTGACATGTAGAGAAAAAGGTTTGAGTATTTTGTTTGACTAACAACTGGAAGATATATGTGAAAAGCTAGAAGAGTCGCTCTATCACAGGATATTGTGGAAGAAGATAAGATACAAACTTTAATGGGTTGGGTTGAGATGGAAAGATTTGCTTTAAAAAACTTTACTTTTCGGGGAGATCAAGTGTTTATGAGAGGGACTAAATTGGTTTTTGAGCATGTTGGATGGTCATCTGCAACTTGGTCCTCAAGTGTTGATCAGAAAATTGACGCAAGTGGGGAAGAAAGATACTGACTAGTTTGCGAAGCTGCATCAAATAGTTTTAGCTGATTCTTCAGCTCTTATACTGTGTATGTGTTGTAAGTTTTCTTCTCACTAGTCTCGTGAGAAGTTGAGAAGCTGCACAGTTGGTGTTGGTACAAAAATCACAGGCTTACTGAAGTTTGCTTGACTCCAGGGTATATCTTTATGTCTGCAACCTGCTTGACCTTTTGTCTGATACATCGATTGTATCATTTGCAGGTTGCACTATACTTTGATAGATGTGGGGACTCCTCATGTCTCCTTCCTTGTCGCAGTAGATACAGGGAGTGATTTGCTCTGGGTGCCCTGTGATTGCTTGCAGTGCGCCCCATTGTCGGCCCGTTACTATGCCAGTTTGGTAAACCATCCTTCCGTTTTTTAGCTTGGTTTCCCATTTGCTTCAAGTCATTGCCTTACTACTGATAAGTATCTGGGCTTTGAGTCGCTCGGAGTTCTTTATTGTTGTTTGTACATATTCTTTAGTGATTATATCTTTCTTGCCTGGGGCTGAAAGAGGGAACAAAAGTTCTATTGAAGTTTATTAATCTCTGCAATCTTCAGGAAATGTTGGATCCTATGTTCTGGTGCAAGAGTTCCTTAGATTATTTTACTCTTAGGATTCTCTGGGCGATCTTTGGTTCCTCTCAGTCTCGTCTGTTTTGAATGTTAATTTACTACCTGAAAATTTAAGATAGGTACATAAAATAATTAAGATTTGAAGTGTAATTTCTCTGCTAAGCTATGGGTAACCGGTTTAGCACTTATTTCCAATGATTGATTGGCAGGTGCTCCCTTGTATTTGGAGCATCTAATTGTGCAGGGTCAAGATCTCAATGCATATAGTCCATCTCAATCAAGTAGCAGCAAGCTCCTCACATGCAGCCACCAGTTATGCGAACTTGGTTCAAAATGCAAAAGTCCAACCCAGCAGTGCCCATACTCTGTTGACTATTACTCCGAGAATACATCCAGTTCTGGCTTGCTGGTTGAGGATGTATTATATTTTGCCTCAAATGATGATCTTGGTGCATCAAATGCTTCTGTGAAAGCTCCGGTGCTCATGGGGTGTGTTTCATTTCTGTTCTTTGAGTTTCCTTTAATTCAAATTTTCAATTGTTATGCTGACTTATATCATATTTGTGCAGATGTGGCATGACACAAAGTGGTGGTTACTTGGATGGAATTGCCCCGGATGGTCTCATGGGTTTGGGGCCAGGAAAAATCTCAGTTCCAAGCTTTCTTGCAAAAGCAGGATTTATTCAGGATTCCTTCTCTTTGTGCTTCGATGAGGAAGATTCAGGGAAAATTTATTTCGGTGATCAGGGTCCGCATGCCCAACAGTCTACTCCCTTCCTAACTTCAAATGGAAATTAGTACGACCCATCTTAGCACTTTTGAGTAGGATAAAAACTTTGTTGCCTTTTTAATCTGGTTGTAGTATCAAGTATTTGCAAATTCTTATCGATTTATGGCTTGACTCAGCACGACCTACATAGTTGGAGTGGACGGGTGTTGCATTGGTGGTTCTTGCCTTAAGCAGACAAGATTCAAGGCACTGATTGATAGTGGTACATCTTTCACATTTCTTCCTGAGGATGTGTATGAGAAGACTGCTAATGAGGTAGTTACTTGTTGTATTTCTATTCAAGTGACTTTGGGGGTTTGCTATCATTGCATTGTAGACTACATGCATATTAAGAAATCTTGTGTTTTGTGAATGGAACAGTAGGGACGTGGGTAATGTTAAAATACAGTTTCTGGTTTTAGGAATTGTAATGTGGAACCCACACAATTGTATTTCTATGCATTGTTCAAATCTTTAGGTGGAATGCATGATATCATGCACTTAAGAAATGTTGTTTCTTTGGGTGTGGGGGGTGGGGGGAGTTGGGGGGTTGGTTCCTACCATATTCAGACAATAAAACCGATGAATTGTGAGAAACCTTGTATATTCAGAATCAGTGGGAGCAATCCCTAGTTACCAAACAACCCTTAGCTTAATTATGTTTTGGCTACCTCTATACTAATTTCCTGGTTTTGTTTGTTAGTTTCACAGGCAGGTAAATTCTACTATATCAACCTTTGAAGGGTATCCTTGGAAGTACTGCTACAAGTCCAGGTAGTTAATTTGCTTAGACTAAAGAGCATTTGACAGCTTGTATGTTTCCTTTTTTTTTCTCTCTAAATGTTGGGTTTTATGTGGACAGCTCACAGGACTCCCCAAAAATACCATCAATGAAGCTCTTGTTTGCAATGAACAACAGCTTTATGATCCATAATCCTGTTTTTATGGTATATGGCATTCAGGTAAGACATTATCTAACAAACATAGCATGTAGCTCGTCTATATTTTCTGTTGGTCTCTTTGTGCAGTGTGCTATCAACCAACGACGTAAGTCCTGTTGAACTTGGTTTGTGTAGGGTTTGACTGGATTTTGTTTAGCTGTTCAACCTGCTGATGGGGATATTGGAATTATTGGACGTAAGTTTGTACAGTGTAAACTTCTGCTCTCTGATTTGGTCCAATTCCTAGCTTCAACTCACACTAAACTCTATGCAGTGAATTTCATGACTGGATATCGGATGGTGTTTGATAGGGAAAACCTGAACCTTGGCTGGTCTCGCTCTAAATGTGAGTTCTTAAACCCTTACTATTCTTCTAACAAATTGGCGGTTTTGTAACCTGTGGAGTGGGCAACACCGGTGCGGTTTAACTGCACTGAACCTCACTTGAACACTGTTTCCCCCACTCCTAGCTGTAGCCCATGCACTCACATTTCCAAACCACGTAATATGCAGGCGAAGACGAGATCATCTGGGCACCAGGCAATCCATCGGGAAGTGCTAACCCACTCCCAACGAACCAGGAACAGAGGATTCCCGGTCAGCATGCTGTTTCACCAGCTGTTGCAGGTAGAGCTCCCTTGCGACCATCAGCAGCTCCTCCCTCAACGCGACGAGCATCACATTTGATGCAGTGGTTGCTGCCGTTGCTGGTGCTTTTCGTATCTCCGACGTTGTGAATAAGGAAGGAAAGACTTTGATGCAGTACTCTCTACTACGCTAACTTCGGCTTTTGTATTAGATTAGGCCGCTCTACTTGTAAATTATGTATCGAAGCTCTCCTATATGTATACGTGTATGTGAGTATCCAAGGCTTGTTTCCTGACTCACCATGCTGCCCTAGGCTGGCTGGCTGGCTTCCTCTCCAATTTTGTATCATCAGTCTTCTCTTCCTCCTCACTATTATATATTTCCAGTATATATCCTATCGTCTTCGCTATTCTTTTACTTTGCCAGTGTTGTCGATTGATTGTCGTCAATCTCGTCATGTTTTTCTTTCTTCCGCATATTTCACTGTATTATTCTCCATTTCCCACCTTTCTTGCAGTTCTTTATATCTGGATAAAAAGCACCATGAAACACATCTGGATAAAAAGCTACAGATGTATGTTTGAAAGTCGACAGCAACCGGTGAAACCTTTTCTCCCAGTACATGCAATTGATTGCAACTACGTGAAGGCAAACAGTACATGCAATTTGACTGCCGAATAAACGGAGGACACAATCACCAGTTCTGCTTGAAACTTACTAGGGCAAACAGTTCTGGGAGTTCGCTTGGTGATGAATCAATGAAACCGAGAAAAGGGGAAAAAGCTGGCAGCCATGCCACACAAAGTTTTCAATGAATCAACCACGAGTGAGCTGGTCAAGTGGGGTCCACTACGGGTCCAGTGGTAAACCACCACCACGGCACGGGCTCGGGTCGATTCGTGACATAAACCCTGCGGCTGGGTTTTGGGTTTAGGTTTGTATTCATGCACCCGATTCTGCGCTCAGCGCAACTGTAAGAACTTTATTCCGATGGCTGCAGGCGCTCAAGAAGAAGAAAAGCTCCAAACTTTCCTGCAATGGCTGCTAGTAAGCTCTCGCTCTCCGTATTTCTCCGTTAGTTTCGCTAAGATTTCAGTGCTACATGTCCCCGTTGTTTATATTTGGAATGGTCGAGTTGCGTAGGTGAACAAGGTTGAGCTTCGGAGCTGTGAGATTAAGTACTGTAGATCTCTCCCTATCCTCTCAATTCTCGATCTCAATCCCTCTAAAGGCCTAGGCCGATTCTCTATTCTATTCTTCTTCTTCCCCAAATCCCCAATCTCAATCCCTAATTCTATTCGTATAAACCCTAATCCCCAAATATCAAATCCGTTAGAAACTTTGTTTCTAACATCTGGTATCAGAGCCCCGTTCCGATCGGTGAGTTATTCTCAACTCCATCAGGGACAGCTTAGAAACCAGAGAATCAGCGATGGAAAATTCAGAGCAGAAATGGGCTCAGATGCAAGACAGGTTGTGGCAGATCGCGAACTACTGGAGGGAAGGATCGGCGCGAGGCGCCGCGGCAGGGAAGGAGGGCGAGAGCGTCGGAGGCGCGCGGCTGGCGGCGCTCACTGTCGCCGACCGGGACGACGGCGGCGGGACCCTTCTGTCGCCGATGAAGGAGCTGGAGAAGCAGGCGCACAGGCCGGTGGGAGTCGAGGAGAACGAGCGGGCGCGTGCACTGGTGAACAGGGTTGTTGAATCGGGTCGGAAATTGGAGGAAACTTTCAGAGAGCTTGAGTCTCTAACCAGTGATTCAATAGAGAAGAATGGCAAGGTTAACTGGATGTTCCGAAAGGAAAAGCAAAGGCCCATAGCTGACCTTGTCTTCGAGAAGCATGATGATTGTAAGAAGTCGCCAGTTACAAAGGGCTCATTGGAGTCGATGCAGATCCCAGCCACGGTGGGGAAATCATCATCATCGACGGCTGCTCCAGTCACCGTCATTGTGGTCGAAGAGCTCCCCTCAACCGCAACCACCGCCGTCAGTCCGGGAAAGCAGGTCGATCGGTCATTTATACTCGCGGTGGAGTCGTCGAGTTTAGCACAAGCAAAAGGGAAGTCCCTGCCAATTGATGAGTGGAAGTTCAGAAAGAAGGAGCAGGGTACGGACGAGGGCTCTGGAGGAAGGTTGTCGCACGGTCGTGGAGAAATGACCAGAAGTTGGAAAAACCATTTGGTGTGGCCAAAGTTCCGCATCGACGCCAACCGGGGAAAAGATGCGCGATCGCCGGAGAAAAAGACGAAAGAGGCACAGCCGGAGAAGGGAGCTCCCGTGACCTCATCGGCCGCACCATTGACGCCGGCTCCAGCCGTGTCCACCGACGAGGAGGTGATGGAAGAGCTCCACGGCGGCATCCTCTTCTCGTCGGGGAAGAAGACGGAGGAGGAGAGCGACAATGTTTTCCTCTTCTCAAGCGGGCAAGCGACCAGCACACCAGACGGGGTGGAGAAGTCGTTTCCTACTCCTAACCGCCGGGTGAACTCGTCGGAGGAAGAAACAAAGAAGATGTTGATGGCGGGATTGAAGTCGGAGGGAGATTCCGATATGGTGGTTCACCGGCTGACTTCGACGATCGGCGAGGAGACGTTGACAGCGGAGTGGAGCTCACCTCAATGTCGTCGGGTGGAGAAGACCTTGTCGGAGAACGAGATGAAGAGGCCATCATCGGGGTTGAGAATGGCGGCGAAGTCCGGGTTGCTTTCGGGGACAAAGAAGTTGCCGGAGGAAGCCGGGGTGAAGAGGCTGTCGCCGAGCAAAGCAAAGGAGGGCGGCGGAGGATACTACCCGTCCGCAAACCCTAGGTCTCCTAAGGTTGAACAAGCAGACCAGCTAGGAGGAGTGCGGTTGGGCCGAGTGCCCCGGGCCAAGTGGGTTTCTTCTAGAGAGGAGCCAATACGTGGCAGGATTCCCCCGCGTTTGAAGGAGAACTATCCGCAAGCATCCAAGAATGTAAACACCGGGTTCAACTTGGATTTATGTATTGAGGAAGCTTGGGGTGGGCAGGAATGGAACATTGAAGAGAAGGAGATGAAGGGTAGTGGTGAGAATGAACTACAGGAAGGTAAGGTCTTATTGCTTCTCAACTCCTTACTTTCATTAGTGCGCTCACGATCTGGGAAGGATCAGGAGGAATGGAAGCCACCTAACGGGGGGTTATAGGCTCAAGGATCTTGCTAATCAAGCATTCCTAAGCTCTGAACAGGAGAGGCTACTGCAAGTATTAGTTAGAAGAGGGAGCATGACTATGAAAAGGGGTTTGGAAGGTGATTATCATACCATGCAGAGGGCACGCATGAATGAAGGGTGGCTGCATTTGGAGGAGGTTGGCGATGAAGATCACAAGAAATGGGAGATCGTGGGTTCTTTTTTGGTGGAGTTTGTAGAGAAGAATATGGACTCGTGGGGTCTTGGTCCTAAGGATGATATGGGACACTTCGTGAGAAGAGGATCGATGAAAGTTGAAGACACTAAGGTTGGATTAGTTCGTGAGTTTGAACGTGACTGGAGGAAAAGGAAGCGTAAGAAATAGAGGAACCAATGTGCGAAATGCGTGATGAAAGTGGAGAAGTAGGTTCAGTTGATCAACCTTGAGGGCAAGGTTGGTTTCAAGGGGGAGGAGATGTTAGAAACATAATTTTCGTGTTCTAGCATATTTATTATTATCGTTATTATTAGATTAATTCTTATTATAGTTAGTAGTCTTTTAGTCGTATTAGGTTTATTATTAGGGTTTTCTCATATTCCCTATAAATATGTACTGTGAGTTTGTGTTACATTAGTCAAGAAAGAATTATCAAATAATCTCCTAAACCCTAATCTCTCCCTATCCTCTCAATTCTCGATCTCAATCCCTCTAAAGGCCTAGGCCGATTCTCTATTCTATTCTTCTTCTTCCCCAAATCCCCAATCTCAATCCCTAATTCTATTCGTATAAACCCTAATCCCCAAATATCAAATCCGTTAGAAACTTTGTTTCTAACAAAACGCACCCAAGCCGCCCATTGCCCACCCGTAAGGTATCGTTTGGAGAACGATTTAGAGTGTGTATTCATTGAATCTGTAGATTTTGTAAAAAGTTAGGTTTTTTTGTTGTTTTTTGTATTGTGGATTTTAGCTTTAGAGATTTCAAATCTCTAAAATCTATGGATATCAAATATCTCATAATGAGAAATATTCTATATGTTGATTCGTGAGATTGTTTTTCTCCTACTTTTTCACTTTCTTTTATTTATTTATCATATTAAATATATTTATCAACAAACTTTTTAATATTTTCTCGAATCACTCAAATTCATTGAATGTTAATAATCACAGTTACCAAACAATAAACATTTTAAAATCTATTTTCAACAATCCGAAGAGTTAGAATCTTTAAATTGCTGAATCACTATTCGTCGCCCTAAAATTCAAATTTTATCGCCCTAAAACGCAACAAATTGACATATTTATCCCTCAACCCAATTTCAATTCTAAATCCTAACCAAAAATCCCTACTCCCTTCCTCGCCCCCAATCCAAAACCGCCACCGCTCAAATCGAAGAACAGGCTTCGCCTGCTCCGTCGCCTCTACAAGCCGGCCCTCCGACGCTTCCCTTCATCACCCCCAATCCAAATCCGCCGGCAGTGGCATGGACGTTGTTGATTCAAAACCAGCAGTACAAAAGCTCTGCAGCCATGGTTTCCCCAATATATACTTGAGGCGACTCCGTCCCCTGCCTCTATAAATAAGAACCCATTTCCGTCAACTTCTCTTCACCAAACTTTTACAATATCTCACCATCAACAACATTCATCAAGACCCCGAATTTCCCAGGTGTGTGACGGATGATATGGCATTATCATCAGACAAAACGAGTTGATTAGTTAATGATGAATGATGATGACGTTGACGATTCCTAAGGCCAGCTATAGCGAGGAGTACTGATCAGCCTAGCACCGAGGTGACGTAGAGGAGAGGATCCAAGAAGAACGTCGGCGCCGGTGGGAGGCGGTATCCAGCCAGTATTAATATTTTTGTTGAGATCGTAGTGCATAAACTGGTGCTCCAACGACGGTGGCTGCGTCCAAACACCCTGATTTTGATGTTGGTGTTGGTGATGATCTTGATGATGATGATGATCAATTTCCATCCCTAGCGCTAGAGGCCCCCTTGACTTATTACTGTGAGTCATGTAATTTCCGTTTGCCATCTATGGCCGGAACGAATAGGGAATTTTGTTCTAAGGACATTAGAGTAAAATCAATTTATTTAGGGCGACGAATAAGGAATTTTAGGGCGACGAATAGCAATACCCTTAAAATGTTGACAATCTATAGATTTAAACTCATATTCTCCAAACAATCCCTAAATTACACTACTATCAAAATAACTGTTTATAAGCACTACTGGCAACTTAAGTATGAAACATGATATATTCGAGTGTGCCGAACTTACAACTATTACAAAACAGATTTCTGTCTTTTGAGTTTTGATTATCCGAAAACCAAAGAAAACATAATAAGCTACAAAAGAATGATAATGATACACTTATGACAGACCAAAATGGCCCAAAAATTCTACTGTTCCTGCTTCTCTTATGGCTTCT